TGGGACATAATAAATGTTGAACAGATTTTTGTTTGATGAAATAATGATCACTAATGGCCACTCATTCCAATAATGGCCACTCTATGCACATGTTCACTTTAACCTCTGGGCACATATTAACACCTTACTGCTCACCCCAGTGTCCCTTTTAAAAGGTTTGCAGGGGGCAGGTAGGATCAACTATCATATGACCACTGTGATTGACTGTCACAGAGGTCACATGATTGGGAGTCAGTCCCACCATGTACCAATTGTTAGTGGAGATTGTGAGCTGTCTTTGACAGCCCCATCTCTGTGCTGGAAGCACACAGTGAGTGGGCTCTCAGCACAGAAACGTTGGCCGCCCAGTGATGCATACAGTATGGGAAGCGAGTGGGTGTTAAAGCCCACCTTTTTGCCGCTGCACATGTGTGAACGTGGACCACAACATGTTAAAGCGGAACTCTAGGTAAACAACCAAATATACAATAACATGCATTTATGGTTTGTGGTTTATCTGCCAAGTTCCTTGTATCTTTATTCATTCAGGCCTGAACAATACACTGTCCTGCCAGACAGAACAGCCAAACGGATGACCTGACTTTTCACTACTGAAGTTATGTAATATATCCGGGTCACCTCACTGCCTCCCACATGGAAGAAAAATATATTTTAAATATATGTTACAAATATTCTTTCCAAATATATTGACATATATTTTGAAATACTACAATTTTGGCCGTATTCAAATATATATATATCTATATATATATATATATATAGATATATATATATATATATATATATATATATATATATAATATATACATTGTATGTTGAAATGCATTTTTTATATATTACAAAATATATGAAAAATATTTTGAAAAATATATTTTCTTTAAATATATTCTTCAGATTTTTTTTTAACATATAAGAAAGTAATTTTAACATATTTTTACATATATTTGTAAATGCATTTCCACAAATGTAGATTAAATGTATTTTTAAAGACATACAGTATATTTGACAATGTATTTTTAAAAATATTTGTCATATATTTTGTAATATATAAAAAACTAATTTCAACATACAGTATATATATATATATATATATATATATATATATATAATATGGACAAAATTGCAAAATTGTAGTATTTCAAATATATTTCAATATACTTGGGAAGGATATTTTTTAAATATATTTAAAATATGTTTTTCTTCCATGTGGGATGACTGGATAGTGACAGTGAAGCAGCAGACTGATAGGCTCATAGCTTTCTTCTCTCCTGCCATTAGCATGTTCCTTGTGATCACATGTACACCGCAGCATACCTGATTGCTCACTTCCTCTTGCAGTCTGAGTTCTGCTGGACAGGAGGGGCCCAAATCAAATCCAGTACAGGTCTTGCATTAATTGCAACTAAAAATGTATACAATCATTTTGTTAATGAATGTATAGCTGCATTCACTAGTGTCATAATTTATATCTGCCTGGAATTTAACTTTAAGGATTGATATTTAACCTTCACTACAAATACATTTGAAAATACATAAATATTAATAGTTCAAAACCTAATAAGATGTGGGAGATTTTACTCATGAGAGCTGTGGATGATTTTACTCATGACGTGAAAAATATTTATTAAAGCAATATTAAACCCAAAATCCAAAAAATGTAAAATATTGCAGCTTCTGTAAATGTGGTGGCTGCATTATTTTAATTTTTTTAAGTTTTTTCCTTTATTTAACCAGTTGATCCAGCCAGTAACACACTTCAGTCTTAGGGTAGCAACAAATACACCTTTGGATAGCAGTATTGTCAATCTGAAGGTAGAATTATGGAGGCCATACATGCTTTCTTTTACGATCAGTCTCTCCCAATAGGAATAATCACAGTCTGCAACCTATTCATTTGATATTCCACATGCTAAGAGTAGATGTTAATTGATAATTAGGACATGATTGTAACTTACAACACATTGGGGTTGATTTACTAAAACTGGAGAGTGCAAAATCCAGTAGAGTTGTGCATGGTAGCCAATCAGCTTCTAATTTCAGCTTGATGAATTAGGCTTTGACAAAAAAAAACCTGAAACCTGATTGGTTTCTATGCAGAGCTGCATCAGGTTGAACATGTCACCATTTTTCTAGGTAAATATATTTCTAAAGGTGCTATTGACATGACATTTTCACAATGTGTCTGTAACAACCCATGCAGTTCATTCATACAAAGAAACCAAAACAAATACGTTCAGAAATTAAGTTATGCATAATAAAATGGAATGACACAGGGAAAAAGATTGAACACATGCAGAAAAGGAGATGCAGAAAGGCATGGGAAGCCAAGACACCAGCTAAAATCTATTGGTATTTAGAAAGCAATCCTGCCCCTTGTCAGTGCAAATTAATTTTAGCTGGTTCAGTCTCAACTGATGGCCTATAAAAAGGTGTCTCATTACCAAGGTGTCACACAAGAAATGTCTCATGATGGGTAAAAGCAAAGAGCTCTCTCAAGATCTTCACAACCTTATTGTTGCAAAACATACTGATGGTTACAGAGGGATTTCTAAACTTCTGAATGTTCCAGTGAGCACTGTTGGTGCCAAGATCCTGAAGTGGAAAGAACATCATTTCATCATCATAAACCGGCTACGACCAGGTGTCCCTCGCAAGATTTCTGACAGAGGAGTGAAAAGAATTATCAGAAGAGTTATCCAAGAGCCAAGGACAACTTGTGGAGAGCTTCAGAAAGACCTGAAAATAGCCGGTACAATTGTTTCAAACAAAACAATAAGTAATGCACTCGACCACCATAGCCTGAATGCACGCTCACCACGCAGGACTCGATTGCGGAAGAAAAAACATGTTGAAGCTCGTTTAAACTTTGCTGCACAACATTTAAATGAGCCTGCGAAATACTGGGAGAATATATATATATAGTCTGATCAGATGAGACTAAAATTGAACTCTTTGGATGCCATAATACCCACCATGTTTGGAGGTCAAATAGCACTGAACATCACCCTGAAATCACCATACCAACAATGAAGTGTGGAGGCGGGAACATCACGGTGTGGGGCTGTTTTTCAGCATACTGGCAAACTTCATATCATTGAAGGATGAAGGGACAAATATACCAAGACATTCTTGATAAAAAAAATCTGCTGCCATCTACCATGATGATGAAGATGAAACGAGGGTGGACATTTCAGCAAGAAAATGATCCCAAACACAAAGACAAAAAAACTCTCAATTGATTTCAAAGAAAGAAAATAAAGCTGCTGGTATGACCCAGACAATCCCTTGACTTGAATCCAATAGAAAATCTATTGAAAGAACTAAACATCAGAGTTCATAGAAGAGGCCCATGGAACCTTCAAGATTTGAAGACTGTATGGTAGGATGGGCCAAAATCACACCTGAGCAATGCATGTGACTAGTTTTCTCCGTACAGGAGGCATCTTGAAGCTGTCATTACCCACAAAGGATTTTGTACGAAGTATTAAATTTCAGATAGCGTGTTCAATACTTTTTCTCTGTGTCATTCCATTTTATTACACATAACTTAATTTCTGAAATGTTTTGTTTTGGTTTCTTTGTATGTATGGATTTCAAGGGTTGTTACTGGCATGTGGTGAAAATTTCATGTCAATAGTACCTTTAGAAATATATTTACTGACAAAAATGGTGACGTGTTTAATACTTATTTTACCTGCTGTATAAGTACCTATCTAAACTATCCAATCAATGTGTATCCAGTCAAGTGCTTGCACTGTTGATACTGTATATCTATTAATATTACAGGTATTTATACAGCACCAGCAATTTAGACAGTAATGTATATGAAGATCAGTCCCTACCAGGGGCGGACTGACAACTCATGGGGCCCCCAGGCAATAGGGGATCATGGGGCCCCTGTGTCCTTGCCCAAACTCAAAAAAGCCTATGAAAAAGGTACCAGGGGCATCTCATGGGGCCCCCTACTGACCCCGGGCCCTCGGGCGTTGCCCGAGTTTCCAAATGGTCAGTCCTCCCCTGGGCCCTACCCTCAAGGAGCTTACAGTCTAAGGTCCCTAGCTCACAAATACACTCTAGCACAAAATAACCTACCATGTCTTTGAAGTGTAGGGAGAACTCACACAAGCACATGGAGAACACACAAACACCATGTAGGTAGTGTTGCAGGTTGGGAACCCCAATGCTGTAAGATAGAAGTTCTAACCACTAAGCCATTGTGCTGCCCAATCTAAAGGGAATTGTACAGTCAGATTGCATTATGTAAGCTCTAGCAAGGGAGGCAGATATGAACCGTGGGTACTATGGCAATTTAATGCTCAGCACTTTCACCTGATAACACTAGGGTCTTCATCTCACCAGGGAAAACGTCTTTACTGAGTTAATTGTATATTCTGCCCCTGCAATCATCAAAAATCTATAACATAATGATCTGTCCAGATCAAAGCAGACTGTCCAAGATTTTGTGTGTGCCTGCATGACATGTAGACCATACTTTTTACAATCTTTGTACAATATTTGTACAATCGACTTTAGATTTACCAAAATTATGTCATATACAGTAAGGATCTACCTAAACTATCCCATCAATGTGTATCCAGTCACGCAGGTTTTTCAGATTGGAAAATGTAAGCTCCAGCTTATGGTTTGTCTCAACCCTCTAACTGGCACTTTTGCTGGACAGCTTGGCCTGTTAAAGAATGTTGAAAAGTAACAAGCTTACTGGCTGGATTATCAGGTAAATATAAAGAAAAAAAGAAAATTATGCACCACATCCAAGAAATAGTAAACGGCAATATAATATATTTTTGTTTTGGGGGTTAATGCCACTTTAAATACATACATTTAGCTTTGTAAGGCACATCCTTCTTTTTAACCTTTGTACAAGGGGCGTTCAAGTCAAGTTTATATAATAAAAGAACAAATTTCAAGGAGTGGAAACTGCATTTATTTTTCAACATACTCCCCTGCTACATTTATACACTTATCCCAACGTTTAAATAATGCCTGGAAAGCTTCAGCATAGAAAAATGTGTCATTACACCTGAACCATTCTAGGACAGTCTGCTTCACTTTGTCATCATTGCGTTTACCGTTCTCACAGAAAGATTCATGTCTTGTGCAATTTCATGACAGGTTATGCATTGATTATCCAAAAATGTATCACAGGAATGACTGCTGTGGGCTTTGAACCACCATGGTGGGGATTGTCATTGATGGATGTACGGCCATCTTTGAAACATTTACACCATTCAAACGTCTTACTGCGGCTGAGCGTCTCATCACCGTACTGTGCTTGAGTCTTCTGTAGATATCCATTGGTTTTACACTTTTGTTCACAAGAAACGTCATCACCACACGCTGTTCCATGCACGCACTAACACTGTTGTCTGCCATCTTGATTAACGGTCTCTGGAATGGCCTGCAACATGTGTGCCACCTATCAGTAGTAGGATGCATTTGCCACTTACTACTGCATGTATCGCGACACTAGAATCCCTTTTTTATACCTCTAAAATTAAAAGTCTCAGTTTGACTTGAAACACCCCTTGTATATCATCAGACAGAATTTTTACGGTAATATTGCCGTGGTTAGGATACAGGTGGACCCCTTTTAAAATACAATAGAAGTTTTCCACATCTTGTACAGTATAATAAACATCATACATGACAGATCCTTAATCATGAAGCGGATATAGATTGACCTTGACACACACATTACATTATTATGTAAACTTTTAGCACTGAGCAGGTATCTTATTCCCAAATTCAGGCCATTCCACATTTAACACTACTTTTAGAAATAACACAGATAAAAATACTTTTCATAACCATGGTGCATTTCAGTGCTAAGGGATTTCTTTTCACTGTCAAATATAAATGACTGCCAAAATGCAGAAATCTATAAGAGTTGAAGATTCCAGATGAAGAGAAAATACACCGTCATGGAAATGTTGAGATTTTTTATCAGTGAGACTCCACTGAAGTCTGAGTCTCCAAATCAGCATGGTTCTTAGAGAATCAATGACATCTGACAGGTCTTCACCAAGACTATAACTAAATATATATGTATTTAACCTCTTCATGTTCCATTTTAGCTGCTGCTTAGATGGTTCCGCTTCAGCACTTTCTTTATAATAGGCCTCATGTCTGAGCGGAGAGCGATCTGTGTGACTCTTGTAACCAGTTATGCTTTGACTTTTATTTGCCAGTGTGCCCAGGAAGTCTGAAGAGACCTGAACTGCTAAAATAACATGGAAGGTTCTTTCAAATACTTCTCATAATAAGGCCAAGCAGACACCTTAATGTAAGGCAAAACGCATATTCAGAAATGATATTCAGAAATTGCATGTTAACAAAACCTTTAGAGCTATAGGCAGCTGAAATTATACGTCGATCCTGCCTTTTCATGCAGGAGTCAAACTTGGCCTTGCTTGTCCAACCTTGTGAGTTGTAGGCCAGTTGAGGAAGCTTATTACAATAAAGGCTCATTCACACTGCCTATATGTTAAATGCTCCATTTACCTTACTTGCAGTGTGCTGAGGTTAGGGAGCAATGTGATGCATGGCACGCATTGCACTGCTCGCTTATTTTGTTCTTTTTTTTTTTCTAAACATTATCTGAAGTGTCAAAAAATGACACTTCATTCATGTCTCTGCACAGTGGCATCATGAATGAAATATGGTGCCTTCCAGGGCGCTGCACAAAAATGCTTTGTGTCTACATTTATAGCAGCTCACAGCACTGGAACTGCTAGTTGTGTAATTGCACTGTAAACAGGGCACCTAGGAATCAATTGTTGTCTACATGCCCTAGCAGTGACTGGCGTTGATCCACTATGGAAAAATGACAGTCACCACACATTTACTAAAACTGAAGTATGCAACATCTGGTGCAGCTCTGCATAAAGCTATCAGTTTTTAGGGGGTGTTTGTTGTCAAAGTTTAATTGAACAAGTTGAATTTGGAAGCTGATTGGCTACCATGCACAGCTGCGTCAGATGTTGCACTCTGCAGTTTTAGTAAGTCAGCCGCTATGTGTGAACGGGCCGTAAAGGACCACTTGTGAACGAGCCCTAAAGGACCACTTTAAAGGTAAGAGGAGGCCATCCTTAACTTTTTTTAGAAATAGTTGACTATGACAGAATGCAGTGCCCGACCCCTGCCCTTCTCACCAACTCGTGACAAAGGACCAGCCAATCTCACACCGTGCTATCAATTGCATAACAATGCCACTCTCAGCTGCACCCTGCACAAAGATTTTCCAGCTCATGGGACCACAATCTATGTGTCAGCAGCTGAGAGCGATTGTTACTGGGTTAGGTTAATTACACAATTAACCCTTCACACTGCCACCACGGCCTTTTTACAGAGAAGGAGGAAACTCACAAATCCTAGCAATAACACTATGATATTAGCAAACGCGGCTGCAACACACACTGTCACCACAGACAAGTATATTCAGGGGATTATTACAAACAGTAGCAATCTTCAAGAGACAGGGGTTCTTTAGCTTGCATTAAAAGCTTTAGAGACAGTTTCAACACTTTTCAAAATAGGGTTTATTACTAAAAAACGTCAAAATGGTGCAATTAAAAATATTTACAGAAAAAGATGTTACAAAGACATAAAGAGAACAATAAAGCAACAGAGAAATAAAAGAAAGGAGTAAAGAAGGCAGAATACTTGTAACGTCCTGGTTTAGCAGAGTCCACTTGTCTGAGCGAAAATGTTGCCTTGGCTCTCAAGTCCATTAGATGTTTCTTGTTAAATGAGAGCTCCCTTCACCAGACCTGTCAGTCCTTTTCTATGATATTAAAGGGGTGTCACCTGAAAACAACTGACCAATCATCTGATTTAGGGGATGGGTGCTAGGAGGTCACCAAGTTTATGACCAAATCCCAACTACAATTTCATACTAATATTAATAACTCCCAGTATGTGCAGGTGGTATTCTAGCAAATGGTAGAATAATATTCAGAATTATATTTCAACCCCAGGGATACCAAACACAGCGTACCTTTGTCACCCAGGAGGGAAGAGACAGCTTTCTCCCCTTTCCTATGTGCTAACCTGTCATGTATGACCTGGATTTGTTTGGTATGAAATGCCTTATTTAAATATATACCTGATATTAATGTGCCCAGTTTCTGTTGAATTCTATGAATTGTGTGGGGAACTGTTACATGTGGAATAGATGTTTTATGGCACGCTCTGCATTCCTAGATCTCTAATGGCCTAACAGATCATGTGCGATGGCTGGACTGAGTTATTGTTTTATGATAGGGCAGAGGAATGTGCCTTTGCAAAATAGACATCCTGCCAAGACTAAGCGGTTTAAATCTCTGGAGCTGGCCTCTATTTCTGTTTTATTTAAGATAAGAGGCTCTTTTGAAGTTCGTTACAACTTACAGCCACACATTTCATTTTCAAGAGGAGGGAGGAGAGAAAGATGATAGTTCATGAAAAACAAAATGGCTGAGACCTTAACAAGATGGCTGTCACATACAGCTCCCATGTCTCTATTGTGCATAATCGTTACATTGACATATAACTTCAGCTTTCCATAGGCCTGGATTTACTGACTGTTTTAACATGTCTTCTAATGTTTTTTCACTATATGACCAGTTTAAATTGCCCAGTTTTGCATAAGGCTTAGGACAATGTTTGCCTTATTTACAATGAGAAAAAAGAAGCTATTTTGTCAATTGGACTATCGTTGATAGGAATGCAGAAATAAAGTGGATTATGCCAATTCATAATAATGTTTAGCCTCATAAACTGGTTACAAAATAAAAATAAATAATAATAGGCCACGCTGCATGTCTATATCACTAATTCATCATGGTTTACACAGGGTAGAAAAACTGACACTACTTGTAAAATGTATCTTTGTGCCTGGGATTTGACACAACAACTGTTATACACTGTGTCGCCTGGCTGCAATACAGTGGTACATGTACACGGAGGCCTACTCTGGTTGAATTTTGTTCAATTACAACAGACATCACCAAAGCTAATGGAGATCTGTAGCATATCAGAAAAGCATCAGAATTGCCCCATTGAGGGCCATGTCTTGGCTTCCCCTATTCACCAATGAACAAAAGGACTCCTTTGTTGTAGCCCTTGAACCTAGTTCCTGAAAAGTTCAGAGACGCATAACAAGCATAAATGGCACAGCTGAAGATATAGCTCAGTGGTCTCCAAGCTGCAGCCCTGTGGCCCTTCGCTTGCCTTTATATGGCCCTTGGGGCACTATTCCTTCAACTGACACCAATGGTAGGTCACTATTCCTCCCACTGATAGAAAAAAATAGGGTACAATCCCACCTGCTAAAACCAATTTTGGGGCATTGTTTACTTCCATTGATGCCAAGACATTTTTTTACTCCCACTAGCCACAGTCCAGCCCTGCCAAAGCCTGAAGCACAATAAACTGGCCCTTTGTTTAGAAAGTCTGGAGACCCCTGATATAACTCATGGGCCATAGCAGTAATTAGAGCAAAGTGAGGAGGAACCTAGGAATGACCTGTATGTATAAAGCAGGGCTCAGAGAGCCTGTAGCAAAAATGAACATGCCCAGGTGTCCCCAGTTCTGAAGCTGGGCAACCAATAGCAAACCAGGCCAAAAATTTAATTGTCCCTTTCTTGCTTTTTATGGACTGTGTTTACTGCAGCTTTCTATTGACCTACATTGTGGTCTGTTTTACACAGTTCAACATCTTTTACCCTAAAAAGCATTTATCTCAGAGGAAACATGTCTGCTAATTCACAGAGGTCATTTTTCTTTTCTGCAATAGTAACCATTCCACCTTTATATATAAAAATACATGATTGGTTATTTCCTTGATGCCTGTTACTTCTGTCCACACTTATTGTTTCATTGTGTCCTTGGAAGAAACACATTTGGTAATTTGTTAAAAAGGATTTATCTGGATAGACAGAAATGTGCCAAATCCAGGCTCCTATCCAACTTTAAAACCATCTCTGTTTTATATATAAGGATGGCAGACAGCAGTTTAAAAATAAAGGACATTAGCAGTGGAAATATATGAATGTGTGTACTTATAGGGGCACATATGTTTCTTTTCAGTACGCAGCAGAATACATTGAAGTGGCAAAGAAAACACCTGCTGCTTCTGTCTGCAATGTTCTGTGTAAAATAAAGAGTAATCTAATGGCACAAAATTAGACATGATCAGTTTTCACGAGGTTGAAAGTTCATATCTGGATAATGCTATTACTATTATAAAATTTGGATATTGCAAAAGCATATAATATAGTTATTCTTGACAGCCTGTTATAGAAATTGGGAATTGAAGGAGTATAGAAGAATCAGGATTGTGTCTGGGGTAATGTTGCCTGAAGTGGCCACTGTTGCTTGCT